GGCAAGGCGCGCGCGCGGCTGGCGGCCGTGCGAGTGCGCGCCGCCGCCGCCGCCGCCGACGCCGCCGCCGCCGCCGACGCGGCCGAGTGGCTGCGCCGCGTCGGCGCGCTGCAGCAGGCAGCCGGCTCGCGACGTGCATGCCCGTCGTTGCGCTCTGGGACGACGCACGGGCTGCTGCCGGGCGCCGCCGGCAGCGCGAGGCTGCATCGACTTTGCGCTGTGGCCGCCATCGTGCGCCACATCACGCCACGCGCCGTCGACCAGTCGTGCTGGTGTTTGTGCCGGGCGCGGCCGAGATCCGCCAGTGCATTGGCGCGCTGCCTGCGGGGCTGCACGTGCTGGCGCTGCACGCCGGGCTGTCGGCCGCCGAGCAGCGCCGGGTGTTCGACCGGCCGCCCAGGGGCAGCCGCAAGGTCGTCGTGGCGACGAACGTGGCCGAGACCAGCATTACGATCGAGGACATCGGCTTTGTCGTCGACTCGGGCCGCGTGCGCGAGGCGTGCCGCGATGCGCACTCGGGCATTGCGCGCCTGGCCACGCGGTTCTGCTCGCAGGCCGCGGCCACGCAGCGCAGGGGCCGCGCCGGCCGCATGCAGCGCGGCACCTGCTACCGCGTGTACACGCGGCAGACGCTCGCGGCCATGCGCGAGCATGCCGAGCCGGAGATCCTGAGGACGCCCCTGGAGCAGGTCAGCCTGCAGGCGAAGGCGCTGGGCCACAGCGACTCGCTGCACTTCATGCAGCGCCTGCTGACGCCGCCCGAGCCGGCGGCGGCGCACAACGCGGAGCTTTTGCTGGTTGCCCTGGGTGCTTGCGACAAGGTGGCCGGCCCCCTGGGCGCGCTTGGCCGGCTGATGGCCGAGATCCCGGTGGACCTGCGCCTGGCCAAGATGCTCGTGTATGCGGCGGTCTTTGGGTGCTTGGACCGCGCGCTGGTCTTGGCTGCACTGATGGCCCACGACAAGCCGCTGTTTGCTGCGCCGTTCGAGAAGCGCGATGAGGCTCAGCGGGAGCGCATGCGGTTTGCTGTGGATGGCCACGGCGACTGGATCGCCGACCTGTGTGCGTATGAGTACGTGGCTGGGCAGCGCGGGCAGCTGGACTTTGTGTCTCGCGCGGTGATGCGTGATGTCAGGAACAACGTGCGGTCGCTGCGCGAGGCACTGGCCTTCACAGGCCTTTCGGAGCCGTCGGAGCCGTCGAGCGGCCGGGCCGCGGGCCGGCCGGGGCCGCCGGGGCCGTCCGGACCCGCTGGAGACCACCCGTGCGGTGCCGATCCCATGGTTCTGCGCGCAGTGGTGTTTGCTGTTTGTCGCCGAGCATCGCGCGTGTGCGCGTGCCCAAGCAAAAGTACTACGAGTTGTCGGCGGTGCTGTTGGATCGACCGCGAGGCGCGCGAAATGGCATTTTACGCAGTTGATCCCTGGGACCCAGCCCCAAGTGTGCGCAGCGGTGGCAGGGCCATGATATGCGCGCGGACCGCCGGTGTTTATCCACCCCCAGTCGACGATGTTCTCGGAAAACAGATACGCCGTCCCGTTTGTCACGTTTTTTGCACTGACGCAGTCGGGCGCAGAAAACCTACATGCGGGATGTTACGGTGCCTGGGATGTACGCTTTGCTGTTGTTTGGCCCGCAGCTGGTCGTTGATCCCGAAAATAAGGTTGTCTGTGTTGGGCCCACGGGTGGTTTGGCTGTGAGGGCCTGGCCGAGGGTGGCGGTGTTGGTTAATCAGCTGAGAAGCCTGTTGGATGAGCTGCTGAGACGCAAGCTGGACGACCCCCTCCTGCGTATTGCTGCGCACCCGGTTGTCGAGGCAGTGCTTGAGCTGATTCGCACCGACGGCAAATAGGATCAAGTTTTGATTAGACATAACACACACAACATAGAATACATTTATAGACTGCTTTCATTAGAAAATTCAAGATAAAAAGGCTCATTATTATTGAGTTATTGTTGTTGCCATTACGTTACCTGTTACCGCGTTGTTACCTGTTACTGTTGTTGTCATTGTTGCTGTTGTTGTTTGATCCTACTCCAACCCCTGCTGCTTCATACCCTCATATCCACTGTCCCAAAGTCCTCCTCTTCCCTCCCATTTCCAAAGTCTTGCTGGTGCTCCGAGCGGTCCTCAGCGTATACACCACGTAGAACATTGGCGGAGAGAGATGGCTAGCAGCACCCAGTTTCCAATAAGCTGGTTCAAGTACGACACGTTCTTGGCATCCACTGCCAAGCGACCGTCGCTCCCCAACGACTGGATGCCCTTGTAGAACCCAGCATAGCGCGACAGTTTCTGGCTGTCGTTCGTCAGCGACCCAATGATCCAGTAGGCAAAATTCTGGTACAGCGCATCGCCAACGCCATAAAGCATATACAGGATGATTGGGCCCGCCGCACGCTTGTGGTCCAAAAAGTCAATCAGGCCGCCAGGGTAGTCTGTTGGCTCGCCGTTGGACAAGGGCCCGTGGGTGTACTTGAGCTGCATCTTGAGAGTCGCGCCCCAAATGACATTGGAAGAACACCGCGACGATGCCAAACGCAATCAGCCCGCGCTTCTTGCGTGTCATCCGCGGATTGTCCCAAGAGAAACGATAGCGCGTAGGCACCGACCATTTGCGCGCCCCAGTAAAAGATATTGTTGAACCCACGCGTGCGGATATTGAAAATGGACGCGTTGACAGGGCCGAACTGGTACGAGTAGAAGAAATTCGACGTAAAGCACATGGGCAGCAATGCGAGCATCAGCGGGTTGAGAAAAAGCTTGGCAATCTCAGCAGCCTCTTTGCCCGCACTCGTGTACTTGACCAGCACGACGGATGCTCCGTCGTCGCGCACAACCTTGGATGGCGGAGCCAGTGCCAGGCCTAGCAGGGCGCCGAGGCATTCGAGCACGACAAATGCAATGTACACGCCGTCTGACAACGAGTCCTTAGCGCTATGGTAGTTGATCGCAAACGGAAGAATGCCGCCCAGCATGCCGCCTAGATTAAATATTATCCAGAAAATGGCAATGTACTGCCCTTCTCCTCCTCTCGCGGATACGACACCATGATCATGCCCTGCGCCGCCCACAAAATCCCGGCCCTATACCCAGAATTGCGCCAGCCGCAATTGTGAAGGCGCCGTTCCCCGTGTGGTTCAGGTAGATGTACGACCCGGAGTACAGCGCGTAGGTTAAGCCTGATGCAGCGATGGTCCAGCGCACGCCGCAGAGATTGACGATTGAGCCGCCAAGAATCCCGAAAACAATAAACGTGCAGTAGAGCGCTGTGTTGGCGTTGTTGCCTGTTGTGCGGTCCATCTGTCCGCCGCCGCCCATGCCGTTGAGCGCGTTGAACATGCCTGGACACAGGAAACACACAAACCCAACCAGAACAATTTGTGTCATTGGGCTGTAGTACCGGACACCCCTGAACTTGTCAAAAAGCCCATTGTAATTTCTTTATAAGAAATAAATGGTTGTAATATTAAACGGATAAACGAATGCCAATGATAAAGGGAAAAGAAAAATTGAAGTGGGAGGAAAAGTGAAAGAAACAAAATGGATTAGACGGAACAAAGAGCCCCCCGTATTTGACCTATTATATTCCCGAGTCACAATGGAATTACAAAAAGAAACGAATTCTTGTTTATTTTAATTTTTTCTAGCCAACGCGTTGAATAAATGCTACATCAATTGAAGCCAATAAATAGACCATTTTTAATATCCAAATCAAGGCAGTAAAAAAAAAAACTGCCTCGGATACGGCACCTAACTATAAATAGAAAAAAATATCCAACGTATTTTTTAAACTCCAGATAAATCCATTTACTATAACCAACTAGCTATCAATTATCTAAAAGTGCCGATCGATTGCAATAAATAATAAGTAACTCAAATGGAAAAGCGCTGAATCACCTTACTAACAAGATAACAAAGATCCTCCCAAATGATTTTCTAGACATTTTAAAGGTATTCAATTAATTTTACACTTATAAATAATTTATAGCAACAAATGCTAATCTATTCGTAATAAAAAAGAAAATATACATCGAGAAAGATAAAACTATAAAGGGGGAAAAACACATAACATAAAACACTTAGATTGCGATTTTCTTGTACCTACGCAGTGAGCGATATTATTACGCACTGAGTAGGTGTCTTGTAGCAACAATATCAGCAAAATGCCTCCAATTCCTATCCGCGCCATGAGTCACCGCATACCTAACCAGCAGTTCCGTCTCCTCATCTGTCCACTTTGCCGAATAAACGCAGGATCAACAACCACAACATTACTGCCAATATTGCTCAATTCTGTTGATAGCTGAGGTGCTGTTAGTTTGGGCTTGCGGTGGCGCGACGAGACATCTTGCTGGCGCCCAGCGGGTGTGCACAGATAAGGATAAGCGCGCATTTGTCGGCTGTCACTTGGTTGTAACGGATAGGCGAGCGAACACTGTCGGCAGCTGCGTGATCTCCATAGACCTGTCCTCAACGTACGGTTGACGAGGTTTTGCGCCGAGGATATGGCTGGGCGTCCAGCTCTGCAGGAAGCATTGTTAGCTGCTGCTGCTGTTGATCCTGATTCTGATTCTGCTGTTGGGTATTGAGCGCGCCGTTGGCAAACAAAGACAGGGACATAGACAAAGACAATGAAGATGAAGAGGATAAAGAAGAATGTGCCTGCTGGGCGCGCCACATCAGTCGCGCCTGAGCCACCCGATTTTCAGTCATAGTAGGCGAGAACTGACGCGCAATCTGCATATCCGACCATCCCAGAGCCGACAATCTAGCCAGTTCCTGCAGGGCCGAAGCATTCCAATCAAACCGGCCACAGAGCAAACCGTACATCGTGATACAATCGGGCATTGAGACCCAAAGAAAGTTCGACACCGCTGCAAAATTAATGGGCTCAGGAGCTGGATAAAACTCATTAATTAAGGTGCGCAGTGTCTCGGCCATGTCCAGCGGAACGTCTCGGGAGAGTAGATCCACGGCTGCTTGCCTGAGTCACAGTGGCTGTTCTCAAGACACTTTTTCACTGGGAGTCCGGTTTGCTGGCTCACCACAGCCCAGTTGACCGGGCCACCCGAGAGACATTGCATTTCGACACATTCGGAAATTCGAATGTTATCGATTCAGGTATATTAAGCTGCGTCTTGTGCAGCACGTTAGTATGGCCAGTGGTCCACGCCACATGGCTGACCGAGTCTGGCCCCTTCTCTTGCAGATCCACCTGGTCTGCGCTCTTCTCCTGCTCCTCCACCGAGGAAATCTCTGGTTTTTCAGAGTTTTGCGGCGGCATTGTAGAGGCAGTTTTGAGCCAATAATCCGCGACGCCATGCGGCAGGGGATGCCCAGTTGTCGGCACAAGGCCAGGATTTCAGTCTCGCTCGCAGTCCACTCGCGTGTAATCCTCGAATGTACCGAGTATCCGCGCCAGTTCTCTGCCAAGTCGCCGCCGCGTATGCCCATTATTTGTCCAATCAGCAGCCAGTTTTCACCATGTCGTCTGATGAGCCGCTGCGCCTCGTAAACTGGTCGACATTAAAGTACGTCATGTGGGCGAGGCCTGCTGGCTCGTCAGTCTTGAATGACCGCCTGCCGCCAGCGCGTTTCCCCACATTTTTAGTGATTGTGGACAATGTGGTCATTGCGCTGCCGGCTGTGATTGAACCCGGTGTTGCTGGCATGGTGCCCTGGGAATTGGCAGAGTGTGTACCTGTTAGGTGGTCTGGTGTATTGGCATTGCGATTCAACTCGGCGCTGTTCTGCGGCAGGCTGCGGCAGACGGTTTCCCAAGAGACGCCCTGCATGCCGTGGTTTGTAATGTGACCAAGCAGGCTATTAGTCAATGCAGACATATCCTCTGGCACAGTAACCAGAGAGCTCTGCTGCTCCTGCTGGTGCTGGTGGTGCTGGTGGTGGTGGTGTGTTGCTGCGATGGTGTTGATATCTGCTGTTTCAGCAAATGGTAACTGCGGAGAGAGCGACAGTGTGGCATCCATAGGGGAAAACATTCCAAGCAGCTGAAAATCCGGGCAGCTGGGCGACGTCATAGACTGGCTGCTATAAATCGAAGCCGTGACCTGTGGAGCTGCGCATATTGTGTGAGAAAGTTCAAGGAGAGCTGTGCACTCTGAGGAAACTGCGGCCACGCAGACATTGAAGCAGATGCACCAGTAGTTCCAGAGGTGCCAGAGAAGCTGCCAGAAGTGCCAGAAGTGTCAGAAATTGAGGCTGGAGCAGCATCAACTGTGTTGGGGAGCTGTGCAAGCAGAGGCTGCGCAACTGGGCTAGTGTTCATAGGATACGAGGGCCATACCGATGGTGGTTGGATTTGGGTATTTGTTGGGTGTTTGGAATTTGAGCTTGTCTGCAGTTGCAGCGGCTGTGTAGCTGAGATTATGTCACGCTGCATTTGGACCAGTTCCATTGGGGTGGAGAGCATGAACCGCTGGAGTGGATGTCCCTGCTGCATCTGGAATAAGTTAAACGGTGGCATTTCCAAGTATATACGAGCAAAAAAAATAAAGTTAATGTTTGCAAAAAAAGAAGGTAAAATAGTGCTACTAATAATATTAATAAAAAAGATAATAAACAAAGAAAAAAGTTTTTGGCAAAAAATTTGGCAAAACAAAAAAAGAATTAAAGAGACAATTTGGGGATATGCAAGTGTACTTATATACACATATGCAGAGAAAAAAATAGATGGGGGTTGTTGGGAAAGAAAAAAAGAGCGGAAAATAAATGTAGCCCGGAGACATGTTTCAATTTATTTTTCAAAATACCATTGTTTAGTTCCTAGCTTTCTTATTTTATTTTTCCCGAGAAACATAATTTTTTTATTAAACTTGAAATTGGATGAGTGATTAAATGAAATGCGGCTCCGGCAAAAAAAAAAATGATGAATGACATATGCACATCCCAATTTTTTTATTTC